GCGACTCTCTCTCATTACCGAATAATCTGACACTCCTTCCAATGAAGTATCATCTTTCCGGCATTTTGGTATTACTCTGTCGTCAAATCTCTCTGCCTCCATACCGATATCTGCTTTCTTAAAATTCGTGAAATTGTTTACATCATGCAATGCCTACTTTCTTATCACACTCCTCGGGCCTTAGTTTGGCAGCTTATAAATGCCTGCCTTCTTCCTCTCATTCTTTATAGTACTCCTGTTACATTTTCTGCTTTTCTCAGGAAGGATCCGGCCCTCGACTGCTGCCTTCTGCTGCATGTGTTTCTTATGTCATGCCAGCTGATATCATTGTAAGACGACATTTTGCAAACGGTCAAGTGATTGGTTGATCGGATTCTGGATGATTTTGTCCGTCTCCTTCAGTCTACAGCAGGTGGGCTAACTCATGAAATGTCAACCGAAATTCGAAATGCGTTTTCGTTTCGAAGAGATTAATTAAGTAGGGTTGTAAAACTAATCATCCTACTGCATAATTCTATAATATTTCAATCAGCTTAGGATTCCGGCTTTCGAATGAACGTCCTTCCGTCTGCATGCAAAAACCACATTCTGTAAAAAATGACTCCTTACGTAGCACGAATTTCTCTCGTTGATGTTCGATGCCCCTAAAAGTCCAATTATATTTCATGGAAAATACGAATAAAAATATTCATTCCTTTACTCATTCGGTAGAAATTTACGGTTTCCTCCAATTTTACACTACACGGATGGGTATTATTCGGTTTTCAAGAACTTTTCCAATTCTAGAATAATTTGAACCCATTCTGCCGTCACGCTTACATTGTGGGTTTTTAAACTACAACCCATGTATTTTCCGCGTACGGAAAACCACACATTTCTCTACGGTAATGAGGGGAGATTATATGGGGTTCATAAAATTTAGCATTGGATTTGATCCATATTGTTAAATTTACAAGCCACATTGGTAAATGCAGAGACATGACGTTTTATGAACAGCCAGTTCACTGTATTTAAAAGTCTCACAACAAAAAAACTCTTTTTAAAACCGAATTATGTCCCTCTGTCGAGTATAAAATTGAAAGAAAACGTAGAGTTCTATCGAAAGAACGGATGAATAAATACTTTTATTCATGTTTTCCATGAAATATAATTGGACTTTTAGGGGCATCGAAAATCAAAGAAACAAATGCTTGCTACTTATGTAGTCATTTTTTACAGAGTATAGCTTTTGCATGCAGCTGGAAGGAAGTTCGTTCAAAAGCCGGCATCCTGAGGTAACTGAATTATTATAGAATTATACTGCAGGCGAATTAGTTTTATAACCCTACTTAATTAATCTTTTCGAAACGAAAACGCATTTCGGAATTTCAGCTGGCATTTCATGAGTTAGCCCATCTTCTGTAAATAAATTGCTACAGTTTCCCGCCTATCCGCCATGGCCTTTGGCGTATTCGTTGTTGTAAATCGGAATATGGACGTTCCCGGTTATCAAATCGAACACGGTGGCCTACGTTTAAACAGTTTGAAATTCGGAAATTGAGATCTGAACTGTCTCTATAATTGTTGTACAGTCTTTTGTAAACCCATGTATTCTCTTGGCGTTTATTTATTTATATTCTAATAGTCATGGATGGAGGAAGTTTTTTCCGAAAATTTCGGCATAAGGCGTGCAAAAAGTGTTTTTCTTTCTCGTTTTCTCACTGTTTGCTACAATTTCCAGGACGAAGTTCGCCCTTACGTGAGCACATCGATTGGCTAGGGATTTTTTTAATGCGCACATTCATATGCTTTTCCGCAAATTCTCCTCGTTGAAATCTGACATTCCTGGGCGCGGGGATTAGCTCAAGGTATTATTCCATACTTACTACTTTAGCACCAATTGAGCAGTATTATGCGTTTTGAAAATGTATTTAGACAATTCGGTCCATCTTTTTCCAATTTTAATTTTATAAGCGAGTGCAACTCTTAAGTGTCCCGAATGCACATCCATCGACGGTACCGACCCTTCGCGTTGGTACGAGCACCTTGGTCACTCTGTAGGCCAAAGGCTTACCGGCTGAAGCATTTCTATGACCGCAAAATGGGTTTGTCTGACGGGCTTGCAGATTGTGTAGCAAAATGACAACCTATGCGGCATCATTGTACCACCCTTCTCTCATCTTTCCATCAGCCAATCAACCCATGGAGACCTGACTGCAAGAATCAAGTTAAGTATGATATCTTTCTCGTTATCGAACGGGATCAGATGATGAGACCCTGAGAACGTCTCAAGACTGCCTACTTGAACACCCAGTTTACGGTGAAAGAGGAAGAAAACAGGCAGCTGGCCTTCCTTCATGTCCTCACCTGCCGCAAAGATTATGATGGCTTAAAAACTAAAGAGTTCAGGCAAGCGGCCAACGGAACGAAATTCGAGTACCAACAGCAGCTCCCCCCTCCCCAATCAGCCACAAACGCAGTCGCGCTGGGGCTCTGTGTCGGCGTGTTGAGACACAATGCAGTGAACCAAATTACAATATCTTCGGTGAGTGCTCAGAACAGCTGGCTATTGGCACAATCGCTTACAGACAGAAGGCAACTATCTGGCGCTAGGTCATGAAACCAAAGGACCCACTGCCACAGCAGGAAAGGAATAGTGCAGACCGGAGGCCACCATGAGGCGTCAGGTGATGAGACCAAAAGACCCACTGCCACGGCAGGAAACATCTGGAGTCGTTTGCCGGATCTGGTGCAGTTGCTGACAAAGCAACTACGTCGGCGAAACTGCAAGACTGCTCCGAAAGCGAATTTCCGAACACGCGGCAGCAGTACGGAGAAATGACGCCAACTCTCAGGTCGCGGCCCATTCGACGAGACCCGGCCACACATCCAAGTTCGATGAGGCCGAAATTCTCGCGAGAGGGGATAATCGTGTGAGCCGCGAGCTGCTTGAGTCATGGTTCACGGGACCTCAGTCTATCAACAAGTGCAACGACATCCCCACTCCATATTCCGTGCTGAGGCATAAGCTAGCCAAAGTAATTGACCACTCAGGGAGCGCGCAAGCCGGTGAGCCAAATGGCCGAGCAATCATCACGCCAGCATCCAACACGGGTGATGACATTTCGGCAAATAACAACTTGCATGCCGGCCATCAAGCAGTTAGCGCACCAGCGGGCAACAATCCTTGATGAAGGGGAGTGCGGTTAATTGCTATAGGTATGCGGTAGCATAGCGACTGCATCCTATAAATATTGTAGCTTCCTGTGCACGAGTCACCCTTTTCTGTCACTGTCTCTGATGATGGATTCAAGTGAGAATCCGAAACGTCGGGCGAATAAAGCCCTTGTTCCAGCGATCGCTTCCTCTTCTGATCATTTGTGAGTAAAGCAACTGTGCCGGCAAAACTGGGACACACCTCCGGACGCGAATGGCTGCGTGCACAGCAGTAGCACCAGCCGTGCGGAGAAATAACGCCAGCTTCCGAGCCGCGGCTCATTCGACAGGGTCAGGTCACATTTGAGGCCGATAGTCTCGCGAGAGGTGACTATTGCGTGAACTGCTTGAGATATGGTCCAGGGGAACCCAGTCTATTAACAAGTGCGACGACCTCCTTCTCTATGATAAGTGCAGAGACTTGGTCTGGGCAGAGTAATTAGCCATGCAGGGAGCGCGCAGAAAAACACTGTTCCCAGCGCAAGTGTCGGCGAACAGATGGCAAAGAAATCACGTCAAGATTAAAAGGGAAGTTGTTGATTTTTAGGTATGCAGTGAGACAGCAACTGCTTCCCACAAATACTGCAACCCCTTATGTATGAATTACCCGTGTTTTATACTGTCTCTGGTGACGAGTCCGAGCATGAATTCGAAACGTCGTGCAAATAAGGTCTCTGTCACAGACATCGCGTCTGCATCATCTCAACTGTTTCCTGGGGTTCGCGTTTTCGCTTGTATCGTTAGATTCTGCCTTGTACTGCCCGTTTTAAATTCTGAGCCTACTGCTGACAGGGAATACCTCGACACGAATTACTCAGATGGCCATTTAACGTCCACATATTGCGAATTAACTTAGCACCAAAACACATGCCTGTGAAGTTAAATGACGAGAATTTATGCGCTCTACTTAAGGTAATAAGTCCGGGAATCAGTCCCTGCGAGTGCGGCCTGAGAGGTCGCCAGTCGTATGCGCCAGTTCTGGACAGACGACGCAACAGCCACCAGTGCCGTGTCATCGACAAGCTTGGATACACGCTGGCTCACAGGTTCTGGCCTTCTGGGAGGATACGCTTGTCTATTAGCCAGCCAATCACAGCGAATGGTAAGGCGCGCAGTTGGCGCCTGTCTGCCAAGTTGTAGGAAAGAGGGCGCCGAACCGTCGAGTGGGCAGTTAAGACGCCGTCACTGGAAGCGACATGGGTGCAGTATTGCCTGGCAAGACAGTTATGAAAGCATTCAGACATTGGTTGAGCTCTGTCGTAGTGTCCTTTGCCGCAAGGATCAGTCGAGATCGCTGAGGCATGTCCTGCACGAGGAACTTAATTCGCCGCCGTTGTGTCGTTTCATACAAGAAAGCGAGATGTTGGTGGACCATACTTACACACCTATGCAGAGATATATGCTCATCTGAGGGGAAACTAATAAAAATAATTATTTATAAGATTGAGCAAGCAGTTGTGGATTAAACTGAAAGGTGTGTAGTCATTAGTAATGGCGTCAGTGGAGACCTTAGTGAATGAGTTCATGACCTGTCTCCTATTCGGCGCTGACAGAGAGCTACTGTGATTGTTTTTTTTATTTCAAAAGACAGGCCATTTTATTCCGAAAACCCCAAAATGACGAAACGAAGTTAAGGTATGACCTTTCAGCAAAAATCTAACCACAAGCAAAAGTGTGTGATAAAATGAAAAAGGAATTTATTATCTTCCTCCACAGACATTCTAATTTCCGTACAATCTAGTAGATATATAATTTTTTCAGTGATGAATTGTTTTCATAATCTGCCGTTTTTTTTCGGCCTGCTTTCAGTACTCGTCATGGAACGGGTATTCCGGGTGCTTTGCGATGCTAGGAAGGTTGGTAGGTATTGGAGAAAGCAAATTTACCAAGGTAAGGAGAAGAGTCGAATGTTTTTCCCACTCGTGTTCAGGATTCGCATCTCATCTTCCGTGAGTTCGAAGTCGAAAACCTGCAATGGGATTTAAATAACTGGCGTATTTAGACTTTCGCTAAGACTACTATTAGAGTGGATTATATAAATCACGTGTGTTTAAGTTAGGTAATCTCCTAAGAGTTGGCGTGACTTACGTCAATATTTTGTCTGATGCGTCCAGCATTTATGCTCCCAGGTATGACTATAAGTCCACGCTGCAAAGCATGGCGAAGGAGCACTTGGGCTGGCGTTTTAGAGTGCGCCTCTGCAATCTTTACCACGTAGTCCTCTTGCAGCGGTGATGGGATAGGTGTGGGTCTAAAAGAGTAAATCAAAAACTAAGGCATGAAGTTGTTTCTGGACACACTGAAACCCCGTGCGTTAAAAGCTCACAGAAAATTAAACGTCACTTTTCTTAAGGAACCAGGATGGCTGGTTTTTTCCTATGAACCTTGTTTAAAATAACCAAAACCTCCTACGCACACTTCCACTAGAAAAGAATAGAAAAAAATCAGTATTACTTCTTCAATGGGCCTATTTAAAACATACAGTCAGTTACCCATCTGAAGCGATGTCAACTAAAATTATGAAACGTACATTCGACTAGAAAAAACTGCTTGAGTGGAATCATATTTCAGACAATTCAGCAAAATCCGTAATACGTATAAAGGTGAACACTTGAGTAGCATGATTTTTCATTTTGATTTTCAATGCCACTATTTATTATAATATCTTTTACAGAAAACATAAACAGAAATAATCCGCTTGTATTCATTTTTGCGGGAAATCACGCCTTTTTAAAATCAAATATCCGAATAAAAGGCATCTTTCGATGTTTAAGAACTTTATAATTATGAGATTCTTTGAAACCGTGAAATTTCCACTTTGATAACATGTTATCTGTCCGTTTACTAATGCTCGTCATGAGGTATACCACAGAGTCAGCATGAATTGCAAAGTGCTATGAGCCCCATATTATATCACCCTACTGGAATATGGGAATACTTGGCTTTCCGTACACAGAACGTATACCCATGGTAGACGGAAAACCTCAGACGGAAATGCAACGGGAGATCGGGATCAAAATTATGTGGGAAATGGAAAATCTTCTAAGGAACCTACGAATATCTTTCCTGTGTATTGAGTTTGAAGAATACGTTATTTGATAACGAATGAATATGAGGAAGCATATTTTTATTTATGGTTTCTTTAAAATATATCAAAATCTATAGGAACATCGAAAGCCAATATAAAAAATGGAAATTGATTAAGTAATCACTTTAACTGCAGTCCAGTTTCTACGACGTGAGGACATTGTAGGAGGCAAAAGCAAGTCCCGGCACGTCTGAAATATTTTGGGATAATGTTGCATAATAAAAAACTAACTTAAGAACCTAATTTCAAAACTCATTTTATAATTTTGATTAACATTTCATGGGATCGGTTACTGACTGTACATCCACTTTACTCAAACACTTTGAAAAAAATAAAGTCCGACAGTCCACCGGAAAGAAAAGGAGACTTGGTAACAGTATTTCGAAAGTGACATACCGAATAAAAACGGGCGAACCAAACGGCGCGTATGCGGTCACTTTGATTTCTTTGCTTTTCGCGTACTCCACCATTTTACTGTTCATCCAGTTGACGGAGACTTCGATCTGGTTAACAACAGGCCTTATGCGGCACACTTTAAGAAGTCGTTCGATCTGACTTTTGTTGAAATTTGATACACCAATAGACTTGACGAGTCCTGCGTCAACAAGCTCCTCCATGGCCTAGAACAATTTAGAATCATTTTAGCAATCATTAGTGGTCAATAGCTTACTGGTTTTCGTCCTATACCAAATTCGTTGTCTGAAAAGGCAGAGAACTAGTGATCCAAAGGCTCTGAACAGCCTTGACCCAAGGATAATAATGAAAGCGCTGGCTACATATAATCTTCCAATTTCGTTACATGCTGGTAGCCTACACCGATCCATGATGCAGGACGGGAAAAATCTTTACTGACTTGTCTTTAACTGATAAACAAGGCCGCACACATGAGATTCGAACTAGCCAGTTGAACATGCGACATCCCACTAATGAACGAACTGGCTTGCCTCAGACTGACCGTAATCAGACGTGCATCGATCTATCCTGATTGCAGGCAAATAATTCGTAAACTGCTACTCAAACGCCCCATGCGTTGTCTGTGAAGACTTAGAATAACTTACAGAAGTGACTGGAACGAAGCGTTGGCATCCACGAACTAACAAACCTACAACTGATGTGATATCAAAGTCGTTCTTAGAATCACAACAATGTAATGGCCGATTGAAGAAAATTTAGGGAGTAAACGTAGAGGCATCAGCAAATAAACCCAAAATGAGATCTACAGTATGGTCAGCTTTGTCAATTAAACTTAACTTTTTAAATTCAATTACTCATCAGGGACTCGAGAAAGGCTGCTGTATCCAATGCCTAGAAATAATTTAGATTTCCGCAGTATTCGTGCAAAAGTCACAAGGAGGAAGTATTTGCGCCTTGATATGCGGATGTTTTATAGTTCAAAAAGGTGTATCAATAAAGATTGCTTTATTTCTTCGTCAGTCAAAGGCTGGTCGAAAAAACCGACTATTATAAAGAAGCTGCTAGCCCATAAGACTCAAATACGCAGGCCGAATAAAAAGTTGTTGGAAAACATAATTTGCAAGCGGAGGTCGTGGAAGGAATCTGCGAATTCTAAGATAGGAGCACTAATTAAAGCCTTATAAGGTAAAATCCAATTCTTTAGTAAAATTTCCGCGGACGTTTGACTTTTCACAAACAGGAATTGTGACTACAACTATAGTTGTTTCCCGGTATTTTTACCGTTAGGCATCCGTATGGTCACAGTTTTGGCGGAACCCGAATCCAAAAATTACGAAATCCTGAAGGCATAGTCCTTGGTTCTTTTAGTACGGTTACGACAGTAAAGTATTGGAAAAAGTAAAGAAGACAGATAGAGCAAGACTAAGTTTTCTATCTAATCTGTTCCTAAATATGAGCTATTGAAAAATCACACTAAAGTAACTGTTCTCTATATTTCTGTGAGCAGTCAATGTTAAGAAATGGGTAGTCCTATGGGAAATGTATGTCTAAAAGGGACTAATTTTGTTCCCAATGCGTAATGCTCTTTACGATCATCGATAAGCATTACAGAAGTAAAAAAAACCTGACCTGTTCCATAAAGTTCACATAGATAGCCAAACAGTCTTTAAACAATACAATGGCGTGGATGACTGGTGTTCGTCTTAGTCGACAAACATAATTTATAGTAAAGTCATAGCCTAGCACAACCGCCATTAGAAAAAGGTTGGAAACGTGGGACTCGTTTAACAGGTATGAATAATTACTTAGTGACAATAAAGTTGATATATCGACTTATAAGTGGACGGAAGGACACGTCAAGCATTGGCTTCCTCTTTAAGGTGGAGCGCTTGGTGCTAAAACTCACTATCTACCTTCTATGTTTCTTCCAACGGGACATCCTCATACTCCATACAATTTGGGTCATCCTTTGAAAATGGGACATTCAGATTGTTTTGAAAAACACAGTCGCGTAGACGACAAGTACCCGCCTAAGTCACTGAACTTAGTTTATGGTGGGGTTCTAGCCTGACACAGCCTTCATTAATAAAAGGTTAAAAACGTGGAATTCCTTTAACAGGTATGAATAATTACTTAGTGACCTTAAAATCAATAAACGGACCGGAGGACGCGTCAAACACCGTGCTTCTCTTTAAGGTGGAACACTTGGCGTCTAGATTCATTATTTACCTTCCATGTTTCTTCCAAAGGGACATCTTCATACTCCAAACAATTAGGGTCATCCTTCGAAAATGGAACATCCGGTTTTATCTGTAAAGGAGAAGTTCGTTACTTCTGCAGTTACCTTAAACGAAACAGGCCAGTGCACGAGGTAAAGGTCCAGATATGCCAAACCTAACCTATTTAATGAACCTTCACATGCCGGACGGACATCCTTGGCTCGATGTTCGCTGCACCATAACTTAAATTTTGTGAAAAAGAATAAAACGCACTCTTACTTTTGAGGTAATGAAAATATCTTCGCGCTTGATAAGTCCATCCTGTATCGCTTTTTTGATGGCTGAGCCGACAGCTGGTTCATTTTGGTAAAATGCAGCGCAATCAATGTGCCGATATCCAGCTTCTATTGCCCACGTCACGGCCTTCTCTACATCTTCCGATGGTGACTAGAAAGTAATGCTCGGAACGAAAGAATTTACCATAAAAGTCCCAAGACCCAAAGCGGGCATCTTTTTTCCGTTATTTAGGGTGACAAAAGTCTGTTTCGACGAAGACATGACGACAAAATGCACGTCACACCGGATGTAAGCCGTTTGACAGACGGCCAAGGTCGAGATAAGACAGATGATTTCCTGTGATACATTAAAAGTAATGTAGAAGAGTTTTACAAACGTGCGTACACATATCCGAATAACACAAAGCCTATGTGAGATTCATCTACGATTCTGGAAGAGCCGCCATTTGTAAATACACATGTGGGGATGTAAACAGGCAAAGATTGAGTGAACGCGGTCCTTGAAAGTGCGTTCATTGGAACGGATTCATCTCCGATATCGTCCACAATCATGGGAACCTTTGTCTATCAGCCCCGAAAGGAACTTATAGTCCTGTATCTTTTGTTGTTTAAGCAATACCAGCTGGCTTTATATGGAAGTAAATGGTCTGCATGGCATAAGGGTTTAACGGTTATCCAATAAATATCGTAAAAGACTTTCTCTAACGCCAGACGCATCCGCAAGATTCCAGCCCCACAGAAGATGCCAGTATAGACCTTGAGTGCAGCACTTTGTACAGTAAACGGCCTCGATAGTGAACAGCTGCAGAAAGAAATAATTTTTCCCACTTTGTGTGCTACTCAGTCCTGAATATATGGTGAGCATAGGGATCGACGAAGGGCAATCGTACTAATGAAAGTAAGCTGGATGTCAGTCAGCATGACTTGTTGTGCCTTGCATTTTCGAATGCACTTCAAAGTGAGCCCTTTTATATAGGTACTAAATTAAACGGTTCGCGAACAACACGAAACGGGAACGGCAGTTTCTCAAAACTTGGCCTACCTAGACAGGCAGCATAAACCTTTCTGCTGACCTGAACATTCACCGCCATGTTCTGCAGATACGGCTAAACCTATGCTCTGAAGTTCTAGGGTCGGTTATCCATATCCGGCAGCTTGAAGTATAAATGACCGGTTACCCTACCTCCTAGTCAACAATCTTGAGGGCTTCGGTTGATCCTACTCCAAGTCCTACCCCTTCTTATCCACGTCAGAATTTCTCGATGCCACAAAATTTTTTGCGAAACCGGATGATTGCATCCGGACCATTTGCTCCGTGGGCAGCCCAGAACTGGACGATGTAGCCCACTTCCCTCAAAAACTAACAGCCTTCCCTTCAAACTTTTTGTTTTAAATGCCAGATCCTTGCTTAATAAAATGCCTTTGCTTCAGAATCTGGTGTTCGTCCATTGTTCAGATGTTGTTTTAGTATCTGAGACGTGGGCATCAGCCTCCGTAGCTGACTCCGAACTCTCGCTTATAGGCTATAATTGCATCCGAAATGATCGCCAAGATAGCCGTGGTGGGGGCATCTGCGTCTACGCTAAGTAAACACTTACATTTTTGCCGCTTGACCTCCCACATTTTTCCGCAGTAGAAGGCAGCTGCTGGCTCCAAGTTGCACTAAAAAATAAGTTCTCCTTACTCGTTGGCTGCGTCTATCGTGCTCCCAACGCCAACGACAATTTTGATCGTTTACTCTCACAGGCATTTCATGCTGCGGCCGACTCAAGCTTTAAGTGTCAATTGATTGCGGGTGACTTTAATCTTCCCGAAGTCCGCTGGTCTCCGCCTTCAGGCCCAAGAAGGTTCGAAGACTTTCTTAAGGCTGTAGATGTTGGGCTGTGGAATCAGGTTGTCGATTTTCCCACCCGAGGCCCAAGTATACTTGACCTTATTTTCTGTAGAGGCTGCTTGCCATCGTCAGTGTCATCCCTAGGCCCACTCGGGGGCTCAGACCATGACATAGTTGTTTCAACGTTGGAATTCGAGGCTGACAAAACGTCGTCCCCAAAGTATAGCTTTTTTCGCAATTTCCGATCAACTCGCTCAACCGAATTATTAACACACCTTAATTCCTACGACTGGACTGATTTCTTCCTTAGTTCGGATGTAAATGTTTGCACTGCAAATCCGTACGAAATTTTAGATCCGCTTATTTCTCGTTTTGTCCCCCGTAAGAAAATTATTAATGTTGGGGTTGAGGTTTTCCTACCCTTACCCTTTCGTCGCAGATTGCGCAGGCTTTATCGTCGTTTCCATCTTCAGAACGATGTTTCTGTCCTGCCCTTGATTCGTGATATTTTTGATCGAGCTAAGAGATTGTCTGAAAAGAAAAAACAGCTAGCCGAAGAGGTCCACTTTGCCGAAAACCATTCGTTAAATGTCTCGAAACTTTTCTCTAGAAAAATACGAACTCATAAAAAGACGCAGCATCCCATCCTCCGAGACGCTCTCGGAAATCCCATAGTTGATACCCAGGTAACCGCTGATAGCTTCAATGATTTCCTGTCCAAAACGTTCATTGAAGACTCGACCACTCCGCTTCCGACCATCCAGCCATTGACCGGGGCAGTTCTAGAAACTATAACTTTCACTCTTTGGGATGTGACTGTTGCGATTCGGCGTTTTCGTCAATCTTATAGTCCGGGCCCTGTTGGTGTCCCAGTAAGCATTTTAAAAGCCGATGCAAACACGATCTTCCCATCCCTCTTATGCAAGATATTTAATCTTGCTCTTGAAACTGAAACCTATCCTACCTTGTGGAAGGAATCACACATTCTGCCCATTCCTAAGAACGGCAAATCTACATCATTCGATGACTTTCGGCCAATAAACACCCTCCCCGCAGTTTCGAAGATCTTAGAGACATTGATCAAGGATAAGATGATGCGCCACTTAACAGTGAATAACCTACTGAGTGTTGCTCAGCATGCATTCCTCAAAGCTCGATCTTGTGACACCTGTCAACTCTCTTTCTTTGACTATGTTCTCCAATCTAGGGACAATGGTTTGCACTTTACACAGTATATTTAGATTTCAATAAGGCTTATGATCGTGTTGATCATGCTCTTCTTCTCTTGAAACTGTCCTCTTTCGGAATAGGTGGCAAACTTTTGCATTTTATATCCTCTTACCTGGGCACTCGTACACAAAGAGTTAAGATTTCCAATACTATCTCCAACCCCACACGTGTGAGGAGTGGAGTCATTCAGGGTAGTGTACTCGGCCCGCTTTTATTTTGCCTTCTCGTTAATGATGTACCCGATTAATTTCAGAATGGTAAGCCGTTCATGTATGCCGATGATCTTAAAGTTGCATATCAATATAGGCCGGCAGATCATGACATCTTGCTTGAGCTCCTAAAGAGCGATCTACAGGCTTTCGCCCAGTGGTGGCGCACATGGCGCCTTTCTCTTTCTTGGCATAAGTGCTCAGTCATGGTGGTTGACGACGACCACCAACCTCAACTTAGTATTGAAGGTCGCGTCATAAATGTGCCTGGGGTTATGAAGGATCTGGGCATATCATACTCCAAGAGGCTCAATCTCTCGGAGCACTGTGCCATGATAGTCTCCAAAGCACCCAGAACGACCGGGGTTATCCTCCAAAACTTTAAAACTAGGGACATCAGAATGCGCCTTTACAACATGTACGTTAGACCTGGTCTGGAATACTGTTCGTTTTTATTTAGCCTCATGCGTGCTACTGGGAGGAAGAAAATAGGATCCGTTCAACACTTTTTTACCAAGAGAATTTTAACCCCGGAACATCGACATTTGTCTTACCAAGAACGTTGCCGGCTTACAGGCCTCGATCCTTTATGGTTCCGTAGATTACAAAATGGACTATTTTTGCTATTTAAACTCTTATATAATCACACATTTAACCCACTCACCTCTTTAAGACATCATATCCACCCACGACGTAACAGTCACCGTGAGGTCTTCTTATTTCTGCCTCTGGCACGTACTGTTAAATATCATCGGTTCTATTCTGTAAATGCAATTGCTATTTGGAATAAACTACCCATGAGTGTGAAAACTCTGCAAAATTATCGTTTATTTAAGAGAACTATTACTCGATTTCTGCACTCAGAAAAGCTCCCACAAATTTTGGGTTTTGAATCCACTGATCGACTGTACCGTAGCGATGGCGTTTGTGGTCTCTGAACACTATGGCCGGTCTCACCAGCTGTTCCTCAACGCCTCTACTGTGACGTTCCCCAACTTCATGAAAGGAATTGACGTCCGATGATACCCGATACCGTGCAACCCCCTCCCCCCCTTCTTGACGGTCGAAAATCTACCGCCAGCAGTTTTTTTCTCCTGAACCCTCCAAACCATAAAAACCAACACCAACTATATTTTTATTCTTCAGGAGTTTTTTTTCACTGCTGGTCGGATTTGTGTTAAATCGCTTCCCTTGACAATGCCTGTAAACTGGCATTTAATAAATTAAATTTAAATTTAAAAATTTCCATCTTATAATGGTCAGAGGCGTTCATTAAACCAAAGAAATGACAACAGTATTCGAGGATTGGAAGAACAAACATTTGATAAAGTCTTAGCTTCATTTCCGGAAGGAAAAAAATTATGAGATATGAATACACATATCTGCGTGGCTTTTGCGGAGATTCTATCTGCATGAGGTGATAAGGCAAATTTATTTGTATAACCTAGACCTAGATCCTTTATGGTGAAGCTTTCTGAGAGTGGGCTATTCTGAAAAATTATGGGACCCGGAAGTTTGGCAGGACCAAAAGACATGAAACTACACTTGGATGATTAAAACTCTATCTGCCATATTGAGCCCCATCTGCTTAAACGTGGTAAATCGGCATTAATTTTATCAGCAAAAACATTTGCGGTGTCCCTAGAATATGAGTAAACACACCTGAGGTCATCGGCATTAATAAGAGTTTGCGAATTTCCGAGTTCAGTCGAAAAATCATTGATGTAAAGGAGGAAGAGTAGCGGACTCATAACCGTGCCTTGAAGTACGCCACTCGTTATCAAGTAAGGTGTCGAGTGGCTATTACCGACCATGACTTTCTGATATCAGTTGGATAGATAGGGCCTGATGAAGTCGAGTAGAGGAGGCCGGATGCCGAAAGCTTCTACTTTTACTAAAAGACGTCTATGGGACACCTTGTCAAAGGCTTTGCTAGGATCA